GCGAATTCCGCGTAGCAAATCCTTCGAGCTTGTCTGCTAAACCCAACTCACCGACTCCGCGGTACCTCTAGGTAACTCTCGCCTCATTGAGCTGCTGTACAGCGGAGTCACTCTCGACCAGAAAATATTTATTTATAAGAACTGCGAGGGCTGTCAGTTTTAATGTTTGTGCGCAAGCTGTTTGACGGGCTTATCGAAAAGCATCCAACAGGTTTCAGTGCCGACAACAGCTTAGAAACGGGGGAAACGGCAGTTTTTCTCGTTCTTCCCATAGAGTCCCATGCATTGGCTGGTGTCAATCAATGGCCGCCGGTGGCGACACTCGGCCCCAGCTGCCGAGGCCGCGGTCCGCGATCCAGCCTACTGCAATAGAGATCAGTGGTAGAGATGCAAGCTACCACCATTTTCCACAGGAGTGCCGCCATCTTGAATTGTCGTCACTTCCAGTATGGGCGACGACAAAATAGTAAAACGTTTCAACCTGTAACTAGTAAAAAAATAAAGGGGAGCCAAAACTAAAATGTGCGACGGTTAGGCTTATATCCTAAATGTCTTCTATTGGCGTGGTGACGGCAAAGTAATGTTTTCGCCCATACTGGAAGTGACGACAATTCAAGATGGCGGCGCCCTTGTGGAAAAGGTCTTATAGACCTTTTCCACAAGGTACCATCCATCCATCCATCCAAATTTTGTTTGCGGACTCGCGCTATCAGAGGGTGCTTCGCACCTGGTTGTTTGTAACCATCGCGTGGAGAAAGATTTTTGCAGTTTCTTCAGATTTCCGCAAAACCCCAAAACGCGAAAAAACTGGATAAAAAACTAGGTGAGTTTATTACAGATTGTACTCTCATCGCGGGTTCGATGGAAATTTACGATAAGGAAAGAGGAACATTTAAGACAAATATACATTAAATGTTCCTCTTTCCTTATCGTAAATTAATAACCAACACGCTCAACCATCTACATTGATGGAGCACCGAAAGAGCACATCCACTTAATTTAATGTATACAAAAAAAAACGCAATTGCGATAGACATGCAATATTTTAATAACCTGACAACCTCAATATTAATAATAACAAACGACTTACCTCGACGGTGTACGATTTGTTTTTCATGCTGGCCTGCACTACGCCGGTAGTGCACTTCAGGTCGTCGTCGTAAATGATTTGCATGACGCGGGTTGATTTTACGGAATTTTCGCCCCTCTAAACAAAACTAAGTTCTTCACAGAAAAAAATAAAAAAAACGCACATTGCGGAGGCTTTTGCGGCCTTGGCGATGCACTTGCATGCAGCAAATCTATCGTGTCGTCTGCTACCGAAGCAGAAATGGCTTTCATCGTTGCAATTAGCGGCGAGATGTTTCGGTGGCGCCCTCCTATGGTTCCCCCTTGTGACGTCATTACCTTGCCATCCTCGTCGCCACTGTCACGATCTTTCTCGAACGTGGACGAAGGGGGCCGAAGCACCCGCCGAGGAGAGACGACACGCAGCCTGGTTGTGAGGGTGGACGATGTCTGGCCGGAGCGCGTGCGCTCAACGGCGTTTATTGGTGCGGTGAACAATGTTGCCCGCCGAGCCTGGCGGCCACAGACGGGCGGACTGGAGGGGGGCGCCACTAACTTGTCACACGAACAACAAGTTCGATGGTGTTTGTAAATAGCATGGTGGAAGCCTGAAATCATTGCGCTCTCAAAGCAACACTGCCAACACCGTCGAAATTAAAGTTCTTTCATTCCTCTTATTTCCGTCGATGGTATAGCCTATCCGACGTCATAGTCAGCTTTTGGGCCAATCGTGGAACATAGAGTTATTACAATAAACGCTAGAGGCTCAGCTGGCGCTAGTGTGCTGTTGCATTTTGAAGCAGACAGCAAGCAGTCAGAAATTGACTTCCGGTAATGCATTTCTATGGGAAAAAGCGAGTGCATTTTCTCTCTTCGCTCGATTATAAGAGCAAATATAACGAATAATGTGTACGTACTAGGCACATTGGAACATTTCTCAGTCACGCAGACGAAATAATTGGTCAGTTACAGCGTTTTATTTGAAATTCGCGGCATTAAAAACGGTGTTAAAACCAGTTCGTACGTGTATTTATGTGCACTGTCGGACACTGTTAGCGCGAATACGGCGTCGACGCTTTCCAGCATGGGGGATATACGTGCCAAACGAACGTACGACATGTGGAAAACCAAGAGAGACGGCAAAAAGTACGCAGTAACACTGGTAAGTAACTCCTTGTGCTTGCAGGCGATCAAAGTAAGTTGAAAGTCACGTAATATAGTCCGGTTTGCAATAAATAAGTACCGCGCTTTATTCTTTCTGCTAATAAATATGCACGAAGATGCTTGTTCTGTGTTCAAATCATCACACGCACGCTCCAAATGTTTGCAAATAGGGGGAAGCCGGAGGACAGGTGCGCGATAAAAACAGCCCGACATAGGAAATAATAAGAAACACACCTTTCGTAGCCCACGTATTTTATTCTTTACGTATCGAACGTTTTTTTTTTTTTTTTTTAACCACTCGTAAAGATGCACGACGGGGTCATTTTTAAATAGTGAGAGGACGGGCATATTAGCAATATATAAGCACCACCGGAATGCTGGCGAACTTTGAACACACTCTACATTCCTTTCGATCGTTATTTTGCTTAGAATCGTCGCTCGTTTCTACATACCTGCGTTTGGGCCTGATATATAGCGAAGTTTAGCATCGTTCAGTGGTAAAGGAAAAATGCTGTAACTAAAGCAATTACACTTTCACAGTATTAATAAAGGTACATACTACCCGGTACAACCGAAATAACAAAAGTTATTCATGTTATCTTCTGGCGACGAGACAAAATTCCTGCGCGTTTTCCCATAGGAATACACAGGAAGACTGGAAAAGTAGACTGCATGCTGTCTGCTTCAATTTGCAACCGGAAGTCCCATAGACACTAGCGCCAGCTGATCCTCTAGCGTTTATTGTAATAGCTCTATGTCGTGGAAGGCAGATGAGCCCCTCTAGAGTTCCTGTATAGGCCTACCATAGGTAGCTATACACGTTTGCAAGTCCGGCTTCAGGGCGCTGCCATCTTGCCTGTCTGGGGTGCGCTTGGACCAGTCATAATCCGATTACGAAGCCTTGCTAAGGCGTCGTAATCGGATTATGGCCGCTCCCGAGAGCGCACCCCACTGAGGAAGATGGCGGCGCCCTGAGACCGGACTTGCAAACGTGTATACACGTTTGCAAGTCCGGCTTCAGGGCGCTGCCATCTTGCCTGTCTGGGGTGCGCTTGGACCAGCCATAATCCGATTACGAAGCCTTGCTAAGGCGTCGTAATCGGATTATGGCCGCTCCCGAGAGCGCACCCCACTGAGGAAGATGGCGGCGCCCTGAGACCGGACTTGCAAACATAACCTCCTTGCTTGCAAACGTGTATACAGGAACTCTAAGCCCCTCTATACGGGGGCGCCATCTATCCCCGTGCGAGCGAAGCGCGCTCGGTGCGCCGAACATAATGTGACCACCGCGCGAAACAGAGAGTCATCACCTAAATGTATTTCTTCCACCGTGGGCGGAGCCGAACGGATCGTCGTGTCGCATGCAAGGTCGGAAGCGTGTGTCTCAAACTGTCGCGTGCAGCAGTTCGGAGCGGCGTTCGGACTGTCGGATCGGAAAAAATGTCCCCGGAAAGAAAAGTCTCCGGACAAAAAGGCCCCGGGTGGAAAGTAGGAAAAAATGTCCCCAAAGTATTTTCTATCTCGTGGTTTCGCTGATCCTCATGGCCTTCGGACGGTCCGGTCATATGCCCTTGGGGAAAAAAAGGCGCCGTGTGGCAAGTAGGATAAAACGGCCCCAACAAATAAGGAAATATACGATTCCGCGAGGTACACATCGCGACACTGTTAGTGCGAACACAACATCGGCGTATTTTCACATTTTACTTAGAATATTAGTGGAAACAAAAAGAAAAAAAACGTTTGCATTATATTTCCGAATAAGCACTCTCAGTACCTATAATAACTTTGATGACAATTAACCTTTCGTATCTATGAGAAAGGCACGAGACACATGTGCAAAACATCCATCCGATCCGACGCCCGATCCGGCGGCAATACGACTGTCGGAAGCGTCCAGTGCTGCCGATACCAACGTTACTGCCCATACATCAAATGCGGTCCCGAAGTGGCAACAAATGACGTCACAGAAGCCGGACTGTCATGCCTATCGCGATCCTGGCGGTTGGCCGTAGAAATGCTGGCGAAAAGCACGAGCGAACGCGAGTGTCGCTGTCGTCACGGCGTCCCAGGCGTCCCAAATTCCGGCTGCTGTAGCTTCCGTGGACTGCCACAGTGAAGAGCGACCTGCAGCAGGACAGGCGTCTGCCATATATGCCACAACTCTTGAGACGCCGCCAGGATCGCGACCAGCGACAACATGACACTTGTATGACGTCATCAGGCGAAAATCGAGGGATCACTTTTTTTGGGGGCGGTAAACACACCAGTCGGAGACGCGTTCCAGGCACCATAGTACTGGGTCTGGCGGAACGAACAAGAAATCGGGACTGACCTAGGCGACGAGAAGCCGGACGCGTGAAAAATGGCCCCAGGAAAGAATGCACGCGCTAGCGAGAACGAGCTCCTAATTTCGCTCGTCCGAGCTGAACCGTCAATCTATGACCAGAGATCGTTCCGTTGGAGCGCTTGGGTCTCATGGGCGGAACCGAACGGATCGTCGTGTCGCATACAAGGTCGAAAGCGTGTGCATCATATAGCCCCTTCCCCTGGCAAATTACCAGTTCTGACGAATGGTACTTACCTGAAGTTAGAGCGGGAATTATACGAAGCCTATGGAAGCACTTACTATCAAGTTCACAACTGCTTTCCCTTCTATACCGGAACTGACGTCAACGTTTCAAAGCTATTTTGAAAATAAAAAATAGGTGGCGCCCTAGGCGCTCCCCCTTAGGGAAGTATTCTCCCCTTCCGTCTTCATCTTTCCGAGTTAATGGTTACAGCACAGCTTGCGGCTGCATTGAGATGGTGGGGCCCCCACAAGAAAGATAGAGTATAGGCACTTGTGCACTCAGAACACTTTTATTTCCTGTTCTGGTGATGGCACCTGGTTGGAGCTCTCACGCTATGCGTTACCTCTGGTGCCATGTTGAACCACCTCGACCTGCGACAGGGAAGAGAATGTGATAATTTACCCCGAAAATGGGCAGGGATGTGGTGGGAGTGTGAACTTGATAGTAAGTGCTTCCATAGGCTTCGTATAATTCCCGCTCTAACTTCAGGTAAGTACCATTCGTCAGAACTGGTAATTATACTTCAGCCTCTGTCGCACTTACTATCAAGTTCACAACTGCTTGTTCAAAGCTTTCGCATGTGTTCTCAGCACCTGGGTTCCAAAGTGAGCCCGGGTATCTGATTGCCGTCGGTAAAAGCGGTTAAATGTCGCCTCGGAGGACCAGTCGGCTGCTGCTAAGATGTCGGCAAGTGGTACTCCGACCTCCACAGCTTTGGAGGTGGCCGCTCCTCGCGTTGAGTGCGCTTTGAAAACCGACGTGTCAATGCCCGCAAGCGTTAGTGTGTGTTTTATCCAGTGAGCTACTGTGTCCCGTGCTGCTGGGCGGAAAGGCTTCTGCGTAGTGAGCAGAAGCTGCGTGTGGGCGCCTCGGAGTCCTGCAGTTCGTTCGAGGTACACCTGCAAGCATTCCACTGGACACAATTCCCGAACCTCTTCGAATGCTGGGAAGAAGAGGGTGGGAAGGGGTTTAGATGCCCCAGAAGTCTTTCTGAGGCCACTGAGCCCAAGCTCCCAACCCGCGGATTGTTTACGGATGTGGCATGTTGAAAGCAGGCACAAGTCTGACGTCCTGCCTGCTGAGGCAAGGGCTAATAGCATAGCTAGCTTGCTAGTGAGCATCTTGAGGCTAAGATCCTTGTTAGGACCCCACGACTGCAGGAGGGTTGTCACCGTTTCAACCCTCCAAGTTGTGGGGTATCGGGGTTTGGGGGGGTTAGAATTAAACACTCCCTTCATAAGGCGCACAACTGATGGGTGTTCCCCTAGAGGGCAACCGTCAAAGTTATGCAAGATCTGAGACAAGGCAGAACGGTAACACCCTATAGTGCGATACGCCAGGCCCTCCTTAAAGAGGCTAGCGAGGAAGTTGAGCACCTGTGTTAGAGTGGGAGAAAAGGGATCAACAGTCCTTGAATGGCACCAGCGTTCCCACCTGCGCCAGCAAGAGGTGTAGGTGAGCTGTGTTCCCCGCCTCCATGATGCCTCAATGAGGTGTGCAGCCTGCTCCGAAAGTTGGCTTTGAGTTTGCTGGAGTTGGTCAGTCTCCATGCTGCTAGTGTCAGGCTTCCCGTGCTGAGCATTGGATGTACCTGCCCGTCGTGGCTGCGCAGTAGGTTGTGTGATTGGGGAAGAAGACGCGGTTCCTCGTATGAGTGGTGCAGCAGCGAGGCATACCATGGCTGAGATGGCCAAACTAAAGCTACTAGAATGAGCGGACTGTTGGAGCTCTGCAACTTGGCAATGCATCTGCTCACAAGGCTGAACGGTGGGAAGGCATAGAGGCCCTGACCCGTCCAGTCCTGGCTGAGAGCATCCACTGCTGCCGCCTGAGGATCCGGCTTCCAGCTGTAGTAGTGCCTCACCTGGTGGTTGGAGAAGTCTGCAAAAAGGTCCGTGTGCACGGGGCCCCACAGACAGTTGATCCTGCTGAATGTGAACGGGCACAGCTTCCAACTGCTGGCATCCATCACTCTCCTGGATGCTTGGTCTGCATCCGTGTTCATGTGCCCCGGAATATGTTGCGCCCTGACTGATATTCCCCTCGCCCAACACCACGACCATAGCTCGTGGGCTACCCTGGTGAGTTGTGGAGAGCAGGTGCTGCCCCTCCTGTTGATGGCCGCTACTGCTGCTGTGTTGTCTAGCTCGAGGAGGATGGAGCCCCGAGACACATTCTTTGCCAGCGCCTGAAGGGCCAGGAAGGCTGCCATCAGCTCCAGGGCATTGATGTGCCAAGTGGATTGGAGTGGTGTCCAGTGATGCCCGATCGTCCACCCCTCCGAGCATGCTCCCCACCCCTTCAACGAGCTGTCCGACTGTATTGTCTGTACTACTGGGGGTGTCTTGATCTGGCCCCTTGGGGTCTTCCTCAGTGCTCGGATCCACCACGCTAAGTCCTGCCGCGTGTCCCTGGATAGTGTAAGAGTGGTCGTGTATGTACCTCTCTGTAGGGCCCGTCTCAAATCTGTTTGAAGGTTCCTGATATAAAAGGAACCCTCCGGCAGTACCATTAGGCATGCATTCAGTTGTCCCGCCAAGCTTGCGACTTGGCGGGCCGAGATCACCGGTTGCTCTAGCCTCTGCTGTAGGTGGTCTAACAGGTTGGCGAGTTTCTCTCCAGGGAGCTCGAGCGTCAATCGTCTCGAGTCTATCGATAGTCCCAGAAACAACAAGTCCTGGGCTGGTGTCAGTACCGACTTCTCCAAGTTTACGGCAAAACCCAGGTTTTGTAGGAGGTTCACGATTAGATGTCCCTGGTTTGCGAGTATAGCCCCTTCCCCTGGCAAATGCCGAGCGCTCCGCGCTTGTCGAGTGGTTGACCTCCGTGAGAGATCGGTCACGTGATTTATCCCAGTGGCACGCGCTGCGAAGCAAACCGAGCGCTCCCAGCGCCACCGCTTCCAGAGCGTCTGCTCTCGCTTTTGAACAGTTGCGGCTTCCATTGCTATCTTGCTGAAAGCATGAAGTTCTGATCGGAACTTTATGCTTTGACAAAAAAAAATTTGTTCTTTACTACTTGATTAACGGTGACCTCGACGTTAAGACACAATTAATTTTTCTTACAGTCATATATATAAGCCCGATGAAGACAACTAGAAGGATGATATAAAGCAATACCAAACACGTATGGCGTAAAGCGATCGTCATTTCCGAAGGCAACTTCCATCTGCGGAGTATTTGGCGTGTTGTCTTCTAATTATTCCAATTACATTACAGAGACCACAAAACGAACAAACGACATACCTAGCTCTTCATCCAATTAGGCGCGCACAACGCCTTCGACGTAACGCGATATCTTGGGCCTCTTCGCTGGCCAGCCAAACGACTCGGTAAACACTTCGCCGAGAACGGCTGCCTCGTCGTCACTCGAGCTGGAGCTAAGCTGGTATCTTCGTCGCTGTCACTGCGTTTTATTAGACCTCCTGAAATTAACTCCAACGATGTCATCGCCGCAGTATGCTCGGGCGAGTCGGTCATGACGAGGGGAACGAAAACAAGCACACCAAGGGAGCCCACCCAGCGATCGAAACAAGCCGCGAAACTCCTTCACTCCCCCGCGGGAATGTCGATAACGAAACGGAAACGTTGCGAGATCGAACTCGTCCGAAAAAGGCTACTACTCCGGTCAGCTCGACGCGCTCCGCCACTTTTCCACGGAGCGGTTGGAGCCGCCCACAAGCGGCACACGAGTTAGTGTGTATGATCTCTATGGCACACGGAGCGATTGCTCTCATCTCGCGAGGGAAACAAGAATCCGCTCGGCGAGCGCTCGCTATTTCGCTATACTGTTACGTGCGGCAGTTCGGAGCGGTGTTCGAACTGTCGGATCGGAGGATTCTGCCGTTCATGTGTCTCGCGCTTAAAAAGAAGAAAAAAAAATAGTGATTGTTTGTTTGTGCTAAGTTTTGGCTAGAAATGTTATAAATGTTTATTTCGTAATAAAAAAAAGACAAAAACAGAAACACTTGAAATGCAATGTTGCAAAATCAGGAATGACATGACAGACTCTAGATTCATACACAAAAGTCAAAAGCGGATCGTGCGGCAGTGGAAAAAAAATGTCCCTTTGGGGACATTTTTTTACAGAGTAGTACAGTAGTACAGAGTAGTACACAGTACAGATTGCGTGCCACACTTGTCCGGAAATATCATCGACACGTACGATGGGGACGAAACTTCTTTCGAGGGCATTCCTCCAACGAAATTGGCACTGCATACCCGCGAGTGTGGGATGGCATTTCAGTTCGTCCCATCGACGCTGACACATGTAGGCGTTACTGGTACGAAAACAAACGCAGAGCGCAAAGCGGCAGTGTAGAATATGTCAGCCGTGCCGACACAGTGGCAGACATGATCGGGACACCAAATTTCTCGCGTCCTACGGCACGGTCCATCGTTGTCGCTGTCCCACAAAACATCGGCCAGGTGAAAAACTGTGAAACTTTGTCTCCACGAGATACGACGCATAACTATCGAAGCACCTAATGACGCAGCACAGGCAGCACTTCATGCTGTGAACCCAGCGCAACCCCACCACTCCGACTTCAATGCGTACCAACGTACGCGGCGTGGTTTCGGTTTCGTTTTCTCTGGGGTTCTCACTGCCTACCTTCGGTACCGGCCGCGCGGCGGCGCGCCAGTCGCGTCACACGGAGTGTTTGTGCGCAGCGCTCCTGCTCGGCCCTCAAACAGGAGACGGCCGCTGTTATCATAGTGGGCCTCCGGTCCAATTGTGTCCTTGTGAGCGCTATAGATTTGGAGTGAGGATTTCTTGTTTGCCTCCTCAACCCAGCGAACGGCCTCCGTTCGAGTTCCTCTACCCCCGAGCAGAGTCGCGCATTTGTTTTCCCCGCCACGCAGCTATTCGCCGAGATCGATCACGTGTGGAGCAAAGCATCCACCGCCGTGCAGGAAAGCCACCGCTACGGTCGCTCCGCCGATGTTGCACGCGCCCCAGCGTATGTTCCCCTGCTTTCGCCCCTTTCTCCTCTGTTTTCCATGCGCGGCGGCGCGCGCGCCGCTATTGGCCGAATTCAGTCACGTGACGAGCAAAGCATCCAGGGCTGTGCAGGAAAGCCGGCGCTGCGGCCACCCACTGAGGTTCTGCTACCATAGGTAGCTAGGAACTCTAGTCTCCGCCTCTTTGACCCGTCGCCTCACCTCACTTGCCCACTTACTCGCAGTGGCCTCTATGACTGGCTGTGTGAAGAATCCATACTTCTTACGGAGCTGGTTGATCCGCTTCGTCCGCTGCGTCTGCACGCAGTTGACACTGATGTAGTCGAACACTCGCCTTGCCCACCGATGCCTGTCCATATGGAGAAGTCGTCCCCGGTAGGCTAGTTTGCTCGATGCCTCTCGTGCCTCAAACGTCGACCACCCGATGTCTCCCTGTATGGCCTCAACCGCCACGTTGCCGTGGCAGTTCAGTGCTTGGCGACCGACATCTCTCTGCCTGCGTTTTATGCAAACTCGTGAGTCAGTCGCAGCACAGCTTTCCACAATTCCTTGACCATCAAATATATCTGTTACAGATCCACATAATGCGCCGGCGTAAGATATTTTGCCCTCTCTAGGCTGCCTGTCGAAGGTGCATTTGGTATTCGTCACAGTAGTCGGGCCCATTCGTTAGTGTGACTCCCAGGTACCTATACTTCCCAGACATCGTAACGTCTTCCTGATGCAGCTGTAATTTATTATTTACAATGCCATTCCCAGAGAACTGCACCACTGCCGATTTCTGCTTCAGAGCCAACACGCGGACGATGCTTCCACGCAAATATCTGCTAGCTTCTGCAACGTTCATGTCCCCCGCCGACATGAGGACGAGATCATCCGCGTATGCAAGACCCGGTAATGTCCAGTGTGTCACACATCCATCTTCTATGCGGCGGAGTGGAAACCCCGGAGGTTATTAATTTGCCCTCCATTTCTGCCGTGTACAACATGTACAGTAGAGGTGAAAGAGGGCATCAGATGCTTCAGTCCCCTCTTTACATTGACACACATCATACGCCTCCAAACACGGCTGTAGCAGTACCTTGGTCGTATAGTCGCTGTATCGATTCCGTCCACTGGTCAGGCATATGTGTAGTCTTTCGAGGCAGTGGAGCAAGGACCCATCTGGCACGCTGTCGTAAGCCTGTTAGCGACATCCAGGAAGCAGCATATGAAGTCGCTGTCTTCTTTTCTGGCTATCTCTATGATCTGTGTTAAAACAAAGAGGTTATTGTCATGGGCGTACCAACCCGGGGGGGGGGGGGGGGGGGCAAAGGGCAAAGGGGGCACTCGCCGCCCCCCCCCCCCCCCCCTCCCCGACACAGCCGCCACTTGGCAGGGCAAACACTGGTTGGCGGCACCCAAGGGAACCCAAGGGATACCAAGGGCACCGCCCCCCGGCCTGGGGAGGTCTCAGGTCTGGTATGCCCCCCCCCTCCCCCTGCTGACGTCACGGCCCAATGTTGCTTTAGCAATCGGCAACCCGCTGGCCGCCCGCTAAGGAGCAGCGGCTCGCGGCGGGTCGCATTTTTATTATCGGCATTAGTTGAGAATTCGGCGTCCCACGGACGTAAATTTTGGCTGGGGTCGTATTTTGTGTCACTACAGCGATACCAGTAATTTATTTCTCGCGGTGGTGGCACGTCGGGCGCACTTCCGGTCTCGGGCTGTGGGCCGAA